TTGTTCTCTGGAGGCTTTAATAAATCACAAACAATATATCACCACAGGATTCAGTCTGGTGGCAGTTCTTTTTGTAAGATTTATTTATTTTGCCGGGCGTCGGTGGCGCATGCCTTTAATCCCAGCACTCGGGAGGCAGAGGCAGGAGGATCTCTGTGAGTTCCAGACCAGCCTGTTCTACCGAGCGAGTTCCAGGACAGAGTCCAAAACAATACAGAGAAACCCTGTCTCGAAAAACCAAAAAAAATTATTTTATTTTATTTTTCTATAAGTATGAGTATTTTTGCCTTCACATATGTATGTGTACCATGTGTGTGCCTAGGTCAGAAGAGGACTTTGGTTGGGTCCCCCGGGACTGGAGTTACAGATGTTCTTGAGCCGCCATGTGGGTTCTGGGAATGGAACTTGGTCCTCTGGAAGAGCAACAAGTGCTGTGAATCAATAACTCCATGCCCTGAGTAGAATTCTCACAGGCAAAAAGTGTGTTCAGTGAAAGACACAAATCCCAAGTATGCAATGCAACAGATTCAGTGCAGTAGTACCTCCTAAGGTCCTGGACATTTATTCTAAGTCTCTTTTTGTTGTCCTTGTTAAGATTTATTTACTCTGTATATAGTGTTCTGCCTGCATGTAACACTCAGTGTAGTAGTACCTCCTAAGGTCCTGGACATTTATTCTAAGTCTCTTTTTGTTGTCCTTGTTAAAGATTTATTTACTCTGTATACAGTGTTCTGCCTGCACGTAACACCTACAGGGCACCAGATCTCGTTGTAGAAGGCTATGAGCCACCATGTGGTTGCTGGGAATTGAACTCAGGGTCTCTGGAAAAGCAGCCAGTGCTCTTAACCACTGAGCCATCTCTCCAGCCCTTGGGTCTCAGTCCCCTCCCCGCCCCCAAAGCCCCATCAGTGTTTCTGCCTCGTCACCCTACCTCGTCAGAGACAGCCAGTGCTCCAGTGCCTTGCCTGGTCTGTAACAGGGCCTGGCTGCCTGCCTTCCAGCGGGCCTCCTCCCACCCCAACCCCTGGGACTGGCCTTCGGCTTTCTTCTGTGGCTTCTCTGAGTTTCTTTCTCAGTTCTGTTCTGAATGCTTTTCCCAACCAGGTGTCACCATGAGGCTCGATGTGGAATTGACCCTCACAAGCTTGATGCTGGTTGATTCCCACACATCCACATTGTGCAGACTTTGAATCCTCTCCCCCAAATCTTTGGTCTGGAATGTGCTTCCAGGAGAAGGCAGTTTACAGTGGTGTTCCTTGAGGAGCACAGCTCTTCAGATGGGGCAGTGCTGTCCTTTGAGGCTCTGCTAAATCCTTGGTCCTAACTTTTATTTTTAAGACAGGATCTCACTGTGCAGCTCTCTGGGCTCCAACTACAGAGATCCTCCTGCCTCTGCCTCTCTAGTGCTGGGAGTAAAGGCATGTGCCACCATACCTAGCATAATTCTTTTAATAATTAAAAATAAGCCAGGCGTTAGTGGCATGCCTTTAGTCCCAGCACTTGGGAGGCAGAGGCAGGCAGATCTCTGTGAGTTCGAGGCCAGCCTGGTGATGTACAGAGCGAGTTCCAGGACAGCCTCCAAAACTGTATAATACAGAGAAACCCTGTCTGGAAAAACAAAAAACAAACAAAAAAATTAAAAATAAAATTAGGAGTCTCTGTGAGTTTGAGGGTAGCCTGGTCTACAAAGCAAGTCTCTGGACAGCCAGGGTTATTTTCCAGAGAAACCCTGTCTCTAAAAACCAAAACCAAACCACAACAAACAAATCAGGTGGTGGTGCATTCGTTTAATTCCAGTACTCAGGAGGCAGAGACAGGCCTGGTTTTTGGTTTCTCTGTAGCCCTGGCTGTCCTGGAACTCGATTTGTAGACCAGGAGAAGACAGGTTACAGTGACATTCCTTAAAGAACACAGCATATGAGATATTAGATACCACCATGGTTTTTTTTTCCAAAGTGTGCCTTAAAGATTCTCCTTCCCCTCTTCTCCCCTCCCTCAGCTACTCCTGACCCACCCCACTTGTAGCCCTTTCCTGACGACCCCTTCCCTCCCTCCTGTCCCTCGGGCCCTCTCACCCACTCCTGTCCATCTTCAGCACCTATTTCACCCCTCTTGATCTCCTTTCTAATTCCTCAAGCCTAACTCTTTCAACTTTTTTCCTCCTCTCCCTTTTCTTTTTTTTAAAAATGAATTCATTTTTTAAATTTATTAGTTTTCGTTTTATATGCATTGGTGCTTTGCCATGGGTGTTAAATCCCCTGGAACTGGAGTTACAGACAGTTGTGAGCTGCCATGTGGGTGCTGGGAATTGAACCCAGGTCCTCTGAAAGAGCAGTCAGTGCTTTTAACCACTGAGCCATCTCTCCAGCCCCCTCTCCCTTTTCTAGTTTCAAAACAGCATCTCATGCAGCCCACAGTGGCTTTGAACTTGCTACGCGTAGCCAAATCTGGCTCCGCTCTCCTGATCCTCTGGCTGTGTCTCCTGGGTGCTGGGAACCCCGAGGAGCACCACAGCTGTCTCACTTGATGGTCCCCTGACTGCGGAGCTGGTGACATTCTCACAAGGGTGCCTTGTGAGCTTGACTGTGACAGGCCGGATCTGTCACAGGAGCGTTTAGTAAATGTGAAACCACTCAGCCTACCACGAGGACTTGGCAAGTGGCCGGAGTGGAGGGAACAAGCAAGAGAGGCGAACAGGCCCCTAAGCCCACAGCAAACACCTATGAATGACTCCCTTTAAGACAGCCTGGAAGGGACTCTGGAGGGTGGGAGCCAAGGCAGGGCCCCGGGAACCAGGAAGTCACACCCGCGTTAATATTTAGAAAGCTGTGGGGTTGTAACAGCTCACTCTCCGTGTGGCTCAGCCATGTGAACATCTGAATAGGCTCTTTGACACAGCCACACCCGGCTCTGGTCCTCGCCGGGACCCTTAGTAACACTTCCGTGCTTTGCCTGTGTCTTCCGTGTACGTGGATTCCCCCACAACAACAGGTAGTGTTGTGTATCTTTCTGTCATCCTCCTGCCTCAGCTCCGGCTCCCTTTCCAGTGCAGAGGTGTGCAGTCGGTACGGCTCCCTTTCCAGTGCAGTGGTGTGCAGTCGGTACTTGGAGTTTGAACTGAATCTCCCTGGCCACTCCGATGAAGCCTTATTTTACCGTGCATGCAGTCCTTTGGGCAGACTTCTTTTCCTCCCTGCTTTCTTGCCTTCCCTCCACAGATGCCTGTTTCGTTTGTTTCCATTGGTCTGACAGCCAATCAGCTCCAGGACCTTCCATACAGCCTTAGAGAGGATGTGGGCCTTTTGCTGGACTCCCCAGTGCCAACCTCCCTGAGCTTGCTGCTTTTGCCCAGTGGCAAGACCGGTCGGCAAGTAACGGGTGACTCTGTAGGGCCGTCTTTCCGTGCCAGGATTTTGCTCCAACCTCAAATCTTTCAGTGGCCCAGGAGCCCCGCTAGGTAGGTTCTGTTCTGCTTGCCTCCCACTGCAACTGTTCCGGCCCCTGCAACTCCTACCTGGATTGCTTCAACACCTGCGTCCTGATGAGTCTACCTGCTGCTGGCTGTGGTAAGATGTATTGGCCATTATGTCAGATTCATGGTTAGCTTCCTACCTAGGCCACCACCTGATACAATAGTCTTCTAGGGACAGAGGCGAGAACAAGGCCAGGGAAACAGACCGTGATCAACTCCAGTAGAGCACCACCCACATGAGCTGGGTGAGTTGCTGCTGAATTTGGGCGTGTCTCATTTACATCTAGGTCCTTCTCCACCTTGACTTTAATTACACTTGAATGTTCACAGACACACACACACACACACACACACACACACAAGCATGTACATGCATGAGCATGCACAAATAAATTTAAAACATTAAAAATAGCCTAGTGGTGATGACACAGGTTTTTAATCCCAGCACTCGGGAGGCAGAGGCAGGCAGATCTCTGAATTCAAGGCCAGTCTGGGCTAGAGTGAGTTCTGGGACAGTCAAGGTTACACAGAGAAACCCTGCCTTGAACTCCTCCTCCAAATTAAAAATGACTGGTTGACTAAGATGTAGCCATCAAGATCATTCATTCATTTGTTCACTTGCCCAGGGCAACAGGAGAGCAACACTGAGCTTCCTGCAGCCTGGATGCTTTCTCCACCCCCCTTCTGTTTCCCTGGAAACCCCACCTGATCCGGTCAGTTGGAGTTCAAAGAATCTGTCTGGTCTGGGAGCTGTCTGATTCATGAATTCTTTGGTTTTTGCCTGTTCAGAAAACTCTACCAGATTCAACTGGTCTAAGCAATTTTCCTTTTTAAGACTTTGGGGCTGGGCCAGGCAGTGGTAGTGCACGCCTTTAGTCCCAGTACTCAGGAGGCAGAGGCAGGTGGATGCCTGTGAGTGTGAGGCCACCTGGTCTACAGAGTGAGTTCCAAAGCTACATTGAGAAACCCTGTCTCAAAAAACAAAACAAACAAACAAAAAAGACTTTGGGGCTGTAGATTGCTCCATGCCTCCTAGACGGGCTCACAACCTCTGTAACTCCAGTTCTAGGGTCTCCAAGCCTCTTTGGTTTCAGGCAAAACACATACACATGAAAAAAATAAAAACAAGTCATTTACACAGCTGCAAAGCTGCAGCTCTGGATTAGCAGGCAGGAAGGTGCAGTCGCAGGAAGGTGCAGTCGCCTCATGGCTGCAGTACCCTCGGTCCTGTGGCGGCTGTCAGTCTTGACAGTGTATCCTTTTCTAATCTATGCTTCTCTGTGAATAAGTAATCTTGCTACTTCTGCAAATCTGACCAGCTGCAACACAGCCACAAGGCACGTGATCTCTTGGAGTGGATTGTGGTGTCCACCTGGGTTAGACAAACTTAACCACATCTAGGATTTGAGATTTCTGCATCTGGGATTCCAGCTACTCTCATGAATTAGAATTGATAGAATCTGCACTTTTCCTGGAAAAAACGGATGGCACAATTTGGAATTACAGTGACCACAGAGTGGAAGGAAGCTTTGGCTTTCGATGATGTCTATTTGTGGGGTTCACTGGAAAAGGAAGGTGCAAGTTACAGCAGCCCTTTAAAGCAGAAGAGGCAAAAATATTTGTGTCTATGTAACAAGCTCTCCTCAGACACTTCTGCCTACGTAGGCTTGCGTAAGCTCTCATGTAGCAGACGCTGGTGTTGGACTTGTGATCTGACCACCACACCAACAGCATGGATAACAAGGCTTCAGATGCAGGGCAGATCTGTGTAGAGGAAACATTAACAGAATCATTGTATCTAGGTTAAACATCTGAATGAACAGTTGTTTTCTAGAAGTACTTAGACCTTGAAGAAATCATTGTGGAAAACAGTGATTGTTTGCTGTTATCTATGGAGTTCGTTTTCTGAAAGAGCGTTACAGCCTTTGTATGCTTTGGTCACAAGATGGTCCTGGCACACCTGGATGTCTTGAATAATTGGTTACTGCAAACTGTACACAATAAGGACTGAAGTTACAGGCTTGTGATGTTTCCCTTCAGAGAACATACAGATTACATCAGGGGCTTTGGTATGAAGACTTGTTTTACCCCAAAACCAACTTTTGTGTAACAATCAATAAACAGACTTTTGCTCAGCAGTCTGTCCCTGCTGCCAGAGAGTCTAAAATTCATCTTGGAGAGACCCTCTTTCTTCAACTGACCCACACAGCACAGAACACCTGACGGGTCTGTAGAGAAGGGTGGAGAGAGCTGGGCACAGACACGCAATCCCAGGCCCTAGCAATCACGAAGATGGCTGTGGATTCAGAGTTAGCCTGGGCTGGGTGGTGAGACTTGTTTCACAAAAGCAAAAATGAACCTGAGCTAGAGAGAGAGAGAGAGAGAGAGAGAGAGAGAGAGAGAGAGAGAGAGATGATGGTGATGATGAACAGAGGTCACTTCCTAAATTCTGGACATTCTCCCTCCATGGAATCATTATCCAAAATGCAACTATTAAATAAAAATTGTGTAGTGCTGGAGATAGCTCACTGGTTAAGAGCACTTACTGGTCTTCCAGAGGACCTGAGTTCAGTTCCCAGCACCCACATCTGATGGTTCACAACTGTCAGCTCCAAGAGGATCCCATGCCTCTTGCCTCCAACCTCCGCAGGCACCTGCATTCATGAGCACACACATACATGTAATTTAAATAATGAAAATAAATCTTAGTTGTGTAGGGTTGGAGATGTAGCTCAGTTGGTAAAATGTTTCCCTACCATGAATGAAATGTTGGATTCAGTCTCAAGCATCACATAAAAGCTAAGTTACGGAGCATCACATGGGAGCTACAAGCAGGAGGACCAGAAGTTCAAGGTCATCCTCAGATACTTAGCAAGTTTAAAGACAGTCCGGACAACGTGAGATTCTGCCTCCAAAATAGAAATAACTCCCCATCCCTTGGTTTTTTTTCAAGACCGGGTTTCTCTGCATAACAGCCCTGGCTGTCCTGGAACTCACTTTTTAGACCAGGCTGCCCTTGAGTCTGCCTCCCAAGTGATGGGATTAAAGGTGAATGCCACCACACTGGGCAATATATATATTTTAAATTATGGGACTAGGTGCCTGTAGTGGTTCAAATGAACCAACCAGCCTAGACTTTAATCACAATAGTGGGCTTTTGTTGGGTATAAGACACCTAGTGGCCAATGCACTAAAGAACTCTTTGACACCTAACTAAGCTGTGCAGTGTTAAGGCGTTCCTGTGCTCTGCTGTCTATGGATGCTGCACGATCTGGTTATTGGTTGGAGACCTCAGAACTGGTTCTGCTTGTGGGACTTGCCTGATCCTGAGCTCTTCTCTGCTCAGATAAGCTTCACTAGAGTGCACTGGGTGAAGGACTGTTCCTTTCAGCTCCAGCATAATATGCTTTTGTCCTGTAATACTCTTCCAGCCAGGGTGGTGTTGCAAGAAGCCCCACTTGCTAATGAATAGCAGGTGCAGGGAAAGGAAGTCTGGGTCTGTTTTTGCTCACTAGCAACACCTGCTTCTCTTTTGGTACAGGGAATCTAACCGAGGGCCTCACAAATACTAGGTAAGTACCCCCAAGTTATACCTGTGGCTTATTTTTTTTAAAGACAAGGTCTCATTAAGTTACCTAAGCAGGGCTTGATGTTGAAATATTTCTGTCTCAGTCTCCTGAGTAGCTGAGATTACATGCTTGCACCAGGCCTGGTTGGGTATGAACTCTTAAAATAATAATAGTTATTATGATTACAGTTGCGTGTGAGAGGATGTACGTGTGGATGTCAGAAGACAACTTTGTAAGCCGGTTCTCTCCTTCCACCTCTACTTGAGTTCTGGGGTAGAACAAAGGTCGCCGGACTTGCTCAGCCCGCACCTGTACCCCCTGAGCCCTCTCACTGGTCCAAGCTGTAGACTTTTGAGCAGCTTCAGTTCCAGTTGTTCACCCCGCTCCCGTCAGGGTGCTCCGTCTGCACCTTCGGGGTGGAAGGGTTAGTTAGGACTTTATTGTCAGCATCCACATAAAGAGCTGCCCATGGGAGCCCGTGCCTGAAACCCCAGAGTGGGAGGGGACGCTGGTGGATCTCTGGAGTTCTCTGGCCAGCCTGCCTGATCAGTTGATGAGCTCCTGTCTTAGTGAGAGATCCCAGAAGATGGGAACCAAAAATTAAAAAGAAAAAGAAAGATGAGGGCCTGGAGAGACAGCTCAGTGGTTAAGAGCACTGGCTGCTCTTCCAGAGGACTTGTATCCAATTCCCAGCACCCACATGGCAGCTCACAAGTCTGTAACTCCAGTCCTAAGGAATGTGATGCCGCCTTCTGAGCTCCTTGGGCACACACACACACACACAGACACACACACACACACACACACACACACAGGCAAATCACTCAAACATTGAAAAAATCTATAAAAGGAAATACACAAACAAAAATGAGGGAGAACAAAATAAACAAAAATAGCTGGGTGTGGTGATGCACACCTTTAATCCCAGCACTGAGGCAGAGGCAGGTGAATCTCATATGTGTAACATAGGAGCAGAAACATGCCTAGGTGTGCTGTCTGGTGAATTTTATATAAAGTAAACACACATGTTACTCAGTTTGAGTAGTAAGTAGGGCTTTAGTTGTAACCCCGAAGTTTTCCTCATGCTCCCACCCCATTCCCAGTTACTAGTCCTGGCTTCCCAGACATTACATTCATCTCGCTTGTTTCTGAGTGTCATTTCTGATGGTTGACACTGTTCACCTATTTATGTATGGTTATATAAATGTCCCACCGTTACCCATTCCCTGTTGTCTGAGTTTGGGTTGCTTCCAGATTGGCCTGTTACAAACCGCACTGCTGGCCTGGGGTTCGTGGCACACAACTTTAATCCCAGCACTCGGGAGGCAGAGGCAGGCGGATCTGTGAGATCGAGGCCAGCCTGGTCTAGAGTACAAGTACCACGACAGCCAGGACTACACAGAGAAACCAACTCTGTCTCAACAAATAAAACCCAAACGAACAAACAAAAACAAATTACACCGCTGTGGGTATGTAGTGTGCTCGTCTTTGGCATTGCATGCATGCTGGGCACAATAAAAAAAAAGTTCTCGCTCCCAATGCATACATGCATTCATCACTAATGGACACTGGAGATAGCCACTAAGACAGTGAGAGTCTATTCTTGAAAAGGGAAAGAACACGGAACCAGCATCAGGCCCCAGATCTTTGGTCACCTCCCAGGTTTTGCTCACAGGAAGCCAAAGCAAACCACTTACACTCTGTGCTTCCTCAGCTGTAAACTGGAAGTAATTAATGCCTTCTCCCCTGGCTCCGTGATGGGAGAGCCCTCTGCAAACACTCGCAGAGCACACATGTGAGCTGTTATTAAAGTGGAAGCTTTTAATTATCAATGAGAACCCAGGGGCTGCTGTACTTATGTGGGTTTCCATTTCTAATTAAGAACCCAGATTAGATGCAGCCGCTCTGCTAAGCACAGCTGCTCTGCCAGGCACCACGGAGGGATTCCCAAACAGACCCGAGCCCCGGCTGGGTGGTTCCTCTCAGTTTCTTCTTTCAGTTGCCGGATACTCCTGCTTTCTACTTTCCTCCAGCGCCAGCACGAGTATGGCTGGTCTGGAAAAACCACCTGGCTGGGGTCTGCCTGGTTGGACCAACCATATCTCTCTGGGGAAGCCACAGGGCAGAGTCGGTGCAGGCCTTTTACGCACTATTAACACAGTGACTCAGTATCGCCGATCTGGATGGTGCCGTGGGGAAATACCAAAGGTTATGTGGTGCACTCAATCAAGAGCAGTAAAAAGTAATTGACTGAAAGTATCATCCATGTCTCTGGGCATGTTGGCTCCCTGGAGGACAGCTGCACAAGCAGGAGACAGCACCCTCTTCTGGCCAGTGTCACACTTGCACGGCTGTGACGGATTTCCAACTGACTGGGCTGATTGGCTTTTCCCTTGGGGAGCCCCATCCTGGGTTATTATCAGTCTTGAATAAATAATTTTTTGTTTCCTTCTGCCTTTTGCTCTTTAAAGAAGAAAACCCAGCCAGGCGGTGGTGGTGCTCCCCTTTAGTCCCAGCACTAGGGAGGCTGAGGCAGGTGGATCTCCATGAGCCTGGTCTACCTAGTGAGTTCAGGACAGGCTCCAAAGCCACACAAAGAAACCCTGTCTTGGACCTAGCATTGGTGGGGCATGACTTTAATCCCAGCACTCGAGAGACAGAAGCAGGCGGGTCTCTGTGAGTTCGAGACCAGCCTGGTCTACAAGAGCTAGTTCCAGGACAGCCTCCAAAGCCACAGAGAAACCCTGTCTCGAAAAACAAAAAACAAAACAAAACAACAACAACAACAAAACCCTGTCTTGAAATGCCAAAAGAAGAAGAAGATGAAGAAAAAGAAGACGAAGAAAAAGAAGAAAGAAAGAAAGAAAACTCTTGATGGATAATTTAATGAATCAACATGGATAAGCAAATGGTGTGTCCAGTTGTTTGATCAAACACATCTATCCATTACTGTGAAGATATTTTATCTTAATTAATTGGCTTCCACTATTCACTTTCATACAATACCAGTCTATTGTAAACTAAAGTGATCCATTTCCTTATGATAAAAAAGAATCGCAGGGCTGAAGAGATGGCTCAGCAGTTAAGAATACTGGCTGGTCTTCCAGAGGTCCTGAGTTCAATTCTCAGCGCCCACATGCTGGCTCACAACCATCTATAATAAAATCTGATGCCTTCTTCTGGCATGTGGGTATCCGTGCATAGTACCCATACATAAAATGTAAGTATATAAAATTTAAAATAAAAAGGAATTACAACTATAGCTACATACCTTAAATTGAAACAAAATGCATTCATTAAGGTGGTTTTTATTGATGGTTGTTGTTGTTTGACACAGGGTCCCAAGTAGCTGAGGATAACCATGGACTCCTGGTTCTCTTACCACCTCCTCCCCAGTACTGGAACTGTAAGCACGCCCCACCGTGACCAGTTTTAAAGATGGAATTGTCCATTGTGGAAAAACAAAACAAAACAAAAAAATGGCAGCAATCACACACACTCCCCGAGAGACCAAAGCCTTGGGCTCTGCACACCCTACCTGCCGCACACAAAGGAAAAGCTGGAGGGGGAAACCAAAGGCTGTGAAGAGAGAAAAGACGGAAGTAATCCTCAAGGATTGTCCTCAAGGTCGTCTGCTAACCCTGCCCTCCAGGGCCAGAGCCCACGCCTGAAAAGTCCCCTGCAAAGAAAGCAGTGAAGTCGTCTCAGGACGGAGAGCGCTAGGCCGACGGAGAGCGCAAGGCGGACACCGACAGGGATGCAGTGGCCCTGCCCCACACGCAGATGCCAACGGGGCAGGCCCCAGGACGGAAGGTGCTGCCCATGTCCGGTGGGGTGTGTGCTTTTAAGGAAGTGCACATTTCTGGCACCTATGCAGTTTTTTCCCAAATTGGATTTCATTTTACTTCCCCCCTAAACTATGCTATGTTGTCAGCATGCAGGACACATCCTGGTATTATTTATTTACCGATTCGTTCGTTCATTCATTATTTATTTGTTTATTTACGGTCGTTCCAGTGTTGGCTGTCTTGTAATTTTCTATGTAGACCAGGCTGGCCTTGAATTTACAGAGATCCGCCTGCCTCTGCCTCCAGAGTGCTGGGATTAAAGGTGTGCGCCACCAAGCCAGGCCACCTCTGCGGGTTTTAGTGGAGAGGAAGCAGGTGCCACTAACATAATGTTTCCCAAATGAATTGGGAGGTTGGAGGAGGTGCCTTCCCTCGCTAGTTCTGAGATCGCCTTGCCTCTCAGAAAGAATTCCCTGATGGCACAGTCTGTCACAGTAACCCAAACACCTTATGGTCTGGGAAAACTCAGATTCATTTCTGTGTCCTGACCCTCAACTCCCTTAAAACCTGTTGGACTTTGGGGTGATTTAAATAAGAATGACCTCCATGCCAGGCAGTGGTGGTGCACACCTTTAATCCTAGCTCGCCGGAGACACAGGCAGGTGTGATCTCTGTGAGTTCGAGCCCAGCCTGGTCAACAGATTGGACAGTCAAGGGTACACAGCAAGACTCTGTCCCCAAAAACAACAACAACAACAAAAAAAACAAATAAAGAGCAACGAAAAAGAACGGCCTCCATAGGCTCATGCATTTGAACCTTAGTCATCAGGGTGGAACAATTTGAGAAGGATTAGGAGGTGTGGTTTGTGAAGGAGGTGTGTCACTGGGGGATGGGCTTTGAGGTTTCAAAAGCCCACATCAGGCCCAGTCTCTTTCTCTACCTTCTGATTAGGATCAGTGCTTAGCTACTTCTCCAGCACCACACCTGCCTGCCGCCATGTTCCCTGCCATGATGATAATGGACTAAGCCTTTGAAACTATTAGCAAGCCCTAATTAAATGCCTTTTTATAAGGCATTCATAATATATATATATGTATATATATATGTATATGTATATATGCGCCTTGGTCATAGTGTCTCTTCATAGCAACAGAACAGCAACTAAGACAGATCTGATTTTCTAAATCTGGTTATATGTCGGGGAAAGGGACCAG